GGAGCCAGTTGTGTCTGTAAGACTAGATGTCCAGGAGAGGTGCAGGATCAGTAGGAGGAGTTCTGACCTTCTCTCTGCTGCCAACTGCTGAAGCAAGATGGGGGCGGAGACTAGAAGGGGGGGGGCTACAGCTGCAGGAGAGGTGCAGGATCAGTAGGAGGAGTTCTGACCTCCTCTCCACTGCCTACTGCTGAGACAAGGTTGGGGCGGAGACTGGGGGGGGGGGGGGTGCCACAGCTGCAGGAGATGTGCAGGATCTGTAGGAGGAGTTCTAACCTTCTCTCTGCTGCCGACTGCTGAAGCAAGATGGGGGGTGGAGACTAGAAGAGGGGTGCTGCAGCCAGGGGCGGACTGACAACTTATGGGGCCCCCGGGCAATAGGGGATCATGGGGCCCCTGTGTCCTTGCCCAAACTCAAAAAAGCCTATGAAAAAGGTACCAGGGGCATCTCATGGGGCCCCCTACTGACCCCGGGCCCTTGGGCAGTGCCCGAGTTTCCAAATGGTCAGTCCGCCCCTGGCTGCAGCTGCAGGAGAGGTGCAGGATCTGTAGGAGGAGTTCTGACCTTTTCTCTGCTGCTGACTGCTGAAGCAAGATGGGGGGGTGGAGACTAGGAGAGGGGTGCTGCAGCTGCAGGAGAGGTGCAGGGTCTGTAGGAGGAGTTCTGCCTTTTCTCTGCACGTGTAACCTTCTACATACATGTTACATGCGTTACCATTGAACTGTATATAATGTGCATTTTGATGAAAATACATGAGAAGTGCAGCAACCCGTCCACACTAGAATGCAATGCCGGAAACCCGACTTCCAAATTGCACTACCCTTGCGATCTGCAGCAGGTGTCAGTGCCAAGTTAATGACACCCCAAATGCAGGATGTAAATGTAGTGCGTTCACCCACGCAGGTTACAACAGTACCATGTGATCTGGATGCAGCACTTCTATTGGTGCGGTGCGATTGCAACCCATTCCAAATGGATCAGCCGAAATCGCAGTGTACAGAAACGCATGTGAATCGCACAGGAATGGTTGACATGCAGCTCCTAGTGTGATCCGGCCCTCGGGCGGGCTTTAGGTCTCTTCATACCAGATGCATTTGTACGTGTTCAGAAATGCATTCCAAACGCAGTGACATGTTTCTCAATGGGCGTAGTTCACACTATTGCGCTGCAGTTAAAATAAAAAGTAGAGCAGGCTGCATTTTTCTTTTTGCAGCGCAGTGTGCGCTAACGTGTGTAAACATAATGCGTGTGAATGCAGCTCATAAAAAAAAAACAAATTCAGGTTGCTTTTAGATTTAAAAAAAAATGTGCCTCAGCGTGTGCATGTGACGGCTTTATCTGTGCGATTTTCATTGCATCCCAGTGTGAACACGCCCTTAAGGGCTCATCCATACTATGCCCTGTTCTGGTCGGCGTGAATACTGGATGGTGTCGCACATCGCTGTGAATACTGGATGGTGTCGCACATCGCTGTGAATACTGGATGGTGTCGCACGTCGCTGTGAATACTGGATGGTGTCGCACGTCGCTGTGAATACTGGATGGTGTCGCACGTCGCTGTGAATACTGGATGGTGTCGCACGTCGCTGTGAATACTGGATGGTGTCGCACGTCGCTGTAAATAGTGGATGGTGTCGCACGTCGCTGTGAATACTGGATGGTGTCGCACGTCGCTGTGAATCCTGGATGGTGTCGCAGGTCGCTGTGAATACTGGATGGTGTTGCATGTCGCTGTGAATACTGGATGGTGTTGAATGTCGCTGTGAATCCTGGATGGTGTCGCACGTCGCTGTGAATACTGGATGGTGTCGCTGTGAATACTGGATGGTGTCGCACATCGCTGTGAATACTGGATGGTGTCGCACATCGCTGTGAATACTGGATGGTGTCGCACATCGCTGTGAATACTGGATGGTGTCGCACATCGCTGTGAATAGTGGATGGTGTCGCACATCGCTGTGACTACTGGATGGTGTCGCACATCGCTGTGAATACTGGATGGTGTCGCACATCGCTGTGACTACTGGATGGTGTCGCACATCGCTGTGAATAGTGGATGGTGTCGCACATCACTGTGAATAGTGGATGGTGTCGCACATCGCTGTGACTACTGGATGGTGTCGCACATCGCTGTGAATACTGGATGGTGTCGCACATCGCTGTGAATACTGGATGGTGTCGCACATCGCTGTGAATAGTGGATGGTGTCGCAGGTCGCTGTGAATAGTGGATGGTGTCGCACATCGCTGTGACTACTGGATGGTGTCGCTGTGAATACTGGATGGTGTCGCTGTGAATACTGGATGGTGTCGCACATCGCTGTGAATACTGGATGGTGTCGCTGTGAATACTGGATGGTGTCGCTGTGAATACTGGATGGTGTCGCACATCGCTGTGAATACTGGATGGTGTCGCACATCGCTGTGAATAGTGGATGGTGTCGCACATCCTTGCACTGCAGCCGAGACATGAATAGAGTGTCATTATGTGACGCTTCACATTAAGCAAAGAAAAAAGTAAACCTTGCTCCGTCGACCCGCCCACTGCCCGCCCACTGCCCGCCCACTGCCTGCAATACGCTGTACCATACGGGCGAGTGTGGAGCCCTGAACTGTGAGCTGCACACATTGTTACATTGTATGACTCATCGCAGGCTGTGCAAAGTGTGTTCCATTCTTTGTTACATTGTATCCATTATTATGGTCTGTTATGACTCATCTGCTTTGTACTGATTGTTACACTTTACCTTTTATTCTTAGTAATATTTTTTTGCATTATTTGTTCCATTTGTGTTACTCATCCAGCTTGTCTGTGTACACTGCAGTGGGGTCGCGTATGTACTCTCCAGCGCCTCAGGATATGCACAGCCAAAAGGGAAGCCAAGGGTACCAGGACAGCGACAACCAAAGGAAATGCTCCAGGGGTGCAGCCCTCCTCAGACGGGGAGATCAGCCAATGGATGGAGAGAAAACAGGTGGGGCACACCTAGTGCATTATCCAAGGTTTATTGTAGGAATTAAATCATAAAAACATACTCACAGACGAAGCATGGATCTAAAAAGCATAGAAAAATGACAATGGCCACAACGGTGGGCAAGGTGTTCTCACTGTCAGTGCGGTCAAATGGCTGACGCGTTTCGAGGACGAATCCCTTTCCTCAGAGCTGATGACCAGCCTCTGATGCTGATGTATGATGAATGGAAAGGCATCAACAGCGAGGCTCTTACTTCACTTTCCATTCATCATACATCAGCATCAGAGGCTGGTCATCAGCTCTGAGGAAAGGGATTCGTCCCCGAAACGCGTCAGACATTTGACCGCACTGACAGTGAGAACACCTTGCCCGCCGTTGTGGCCATTGTCATTTTTCTATGCTTTTTAGATACATGCTTCGTCTGTGAGTATGTTTTTATGATTTAATTCCTACAATAAACCTTGGATAATGCACTAGGTGTGTGCGCCACCTGTTTTCTCTCTACTGTAGTGGGGTCCCCTGAGTGCGGGGGGGGGGGGCACCTCCATATTAATGGCCGAGGTTATGGGGTGTGATGGCCAACAATCTCATATAGGCGTCCACAAACCTTTCCCCATATAGAATACACCATATTGTGCCAAGTATTGGGCCCCAGCCTTCCCACACACATGACCTTTAATGGCCCCCCAGTCTTAGTCCGTAGGGTTCAATATTGAGTTGGCCCCGCCCTTTCCACACACATGACCTTTAATGGCCCCCCAGTCTTAGTCCGTAGGGTTCAATATTGAGTTGGCCCCGCCCTTTCCACACACATGACCTTTAATGGCCCCCCAGTCTTAGTCCGTAGGGTTCAATATTGAGTTGGCCCCGCCCTTTCCACACACATGACCTTTATTGGCCCCCCAGTCTTAGTCCGTAGGGTTCAATATTGAGTTGGCCCCGCCCTATAACAGCTTCAACTCTTCTGGGAAGGCCCCCCACAAGGTTTAGGAGGGTGTCTATGGGAAGGTTGGACCATTCTTCCAGAAGCACATTTGTCAGGTCAGGCACTGATGTCGGGGGAGGAGGCCTGGCTCGCAGTCTCCGCTCTAATTCATCCCAAAGGTGTTCTATGGGGTTGAGGTCAGGACTCTGTGCAGGACAGTCAAGTTCCTCCACCCCAAACTGGCTCCTCCATGTCTTTATGGACCTTGCTTTGTGCACTGGTGCGGCAGTCATGTTGGAACAGGAAGGGGCCATCCCCAAACTCCTCCCACAAAGTTGGGGGCATGAAATAGTCCAAAATGTCACCTTAAGAGTTCCCTTCACTGGAACTAGGGGGCCAAGCCCAACCCCTGAAAAACAACCCCACACCATAATCCCCCCTCCACCAAACTTTACACTTGGCACAATGCAGTCAGGCAAGTACCGTTCTCCTGGCAACAGCCAAACCCAGACACGTCCATCGGATTGCCAGACAGAGAAGCGTGATTGGTCACTCCAGAGAACATGCCTCCCCTGCTCTAGAGTCCAGTGGCGGCGTGCTTTACACCACGGCATCCGACGCTTTGCATTGCACTTGGTGATGGAAGGCTTGGATGCAGCTGCTCGGCCATGGAAACCCATTCCATGAAGCTCTCTACGCACTGTTGTTGGGCTCATCTGAAGGCCACACCAAGTTTGGAGGTCTTTAGCTATTGACTCTGCAGACAGTTGGTGACTTCTGCGCACTGTGCGCTTCAGCATGCGCTGACCCCGCCCTGTCATGTGACGTGGCCTACCACTTGGTGGCTGAGTGGCTGTTGTTCCCAGTTGCTTCCACTTTGTTATAATCCCACTAACAGTTGAGCGTGGAATATTTAGTAGCCAGGAAATGTCACGGATGGACTTATTGCCCAGGTGGCCACCTATCACGGGACCACGCTTGGAGTCACTGAGCTCCTGAGAGCGATCCATTCTTTCACCAATGTTTGTAGAAGCCGTCTGCATGCCTAGGGGCTTGATTGTATACACCTGTGTCCATGGAGGGGATTGGAACACCTGAATCACATGATATGGAGGGGATTGGAACACCCGAATCACATGACTGGAGGGGATTGGAACACATGAATCACATGATATGGGGGGGATTGGAACACCTGAATCACATGATATGGGGGGGAATGGAACACCTGAATCACATGATATAGAGGGGATGGGAACACCTGAATCACATGATATGGAGGGGATTGGCGCACCTGAATCACATGATATGGAGGGGATTGGAGCACCTGAATCACATGATATGGAGGGGATTGGAACACCTGAATCACATGATATGGAGGGGATTGGAACACCTGAATCACATGATATGGAGGGGAATGGAACACCTGCATCACATGATATGGGGGGGGATTGGAGCACCTGAATCACATGATATGGAGGGGATTGGAACACCTGAATCACATGATATGGAGGGGATTGGAACACCTGAATCACATCATATGGAGGGGATTGGAGCACCTGAATCACATGATATGGAGGGGATTGGATCACCTGAATCACATGATATGGAGGGGATTGGATCACCTGAATCACATGATATGGAGGATATTGGAACACCTGAATCACATGATTGGAGGGCAGCAACATATTACAAAGTAGGTTTTATGAACAACATGAAGCCGGTATAATGAAGTATTCAGCAACCTTATTGGCAGTTTACACTTGCAGTTGGGGACAGTAAAAACAGGAGGTTGAGCTACATTTTTACCAACCTCCTTTACAGCAGTTTTTCAGTCAGTTATGTAAAAGTAAAGGATCAGCAACTACAAATCCTATAGGAATCCTGTATCTGCTGACTTTTACTAGTAGGACCCTCAGCTGTCCGGGGATCCAGTGCTCCCCCCTCTGGGCCGGTCTTCACGCCCCATGCAGAGCGCTCATGTTAAGTGTGGGCAGCCTGCGGCGATTCCTTGCTGCTTCGCAGCCAGCTGCCCATTGCGCATGCACGAGCCGCGCTGCACTTTGTGAATGATCCCGCAGCTTTTTGGAACCTGTGACGTGTCCCAGAAGGCTGCGGGCGGGGGGGGGGAGAGTGGGGAGGATTAGAACGTCTCTTTTTGGGTGAAGTTTCATTTTAAAGCAGAATTTCACCCAAAAGGGGAAGTTCCACTTTTCTGCCTCCCCCTCCCCCTCTCTTCTATCACCTTCGGCTACATTTGATTTTTTCTTTTTTTGGGGGGGGGGGGGGGGGGCAGGTATCTGGTTTTGACATGTGTCCGCTCCCACTTCTGCTCAGATCACCTAGGCCAGGGGTAGGCAAGCTGCGGCTCTCTGTCTGTTGTGGAACTACATTTCCCATGAGGCATTGCAACATTACATAACTGACAGTTACAGCTATGACTTGCAGAGGCATGATGGAACTTGTAGTCCTGCGGCTCTCAGATTGCCTACCCCTGGCCTAGGGGCAATCCGAGCGTAACTTGCCCCCCCCCCCCAGCAGCCTACTGGGACACGTCACAGTTCCCAGAAGCCTGTGTACCATTCACAAGGCGTGGCTCACGCATGCGCAGCGGGAAGCTGACTGTGAAGCTGCAAGAAGGCCCCCAATACTGTGAACGTGCCGGCGCTGGGGACCCCAAGAACGATGTAAAACCGGCTCGGGCGAGGGTGGTGCTGGGTCCCTGGACAGGTAAGTGTCCTTATAATAGATTTCAGCAGCTACAGGATTTTTTTTTTTCATACAGACTGAAGATCTTTAAAGCCCAACTCCGGGCACAATAAAAGTTTCCCATGCTGTGGAGCTGGGCCCGCACTGCATGGGTCAGCTGCTCGTTTTTGCCTATGGGATTGGAGAAAGCTTACATTCGCCTGATCCTCTGCTCCACCTGCATACGGCACTCCCCCATGATCCAGCAGCAGACTGTTTCTGACGTGCGTGATGACGTCAGGAACAGTCCATTGCACAAGACCGCTAGACCGTGTGTGTGTGTGTGGAGGGGGGGTGTTAGCAGGAGCTACAGGGACCGATCTTGTGCAGGGAGGATTAGTTCTCCAATCCCATTGCATCGGGCAGTTGACCTGTACAGTGCAGGCGCGGCCCCAATACATGGGAAAACTTTCTTTTTTTGCCCAGAGTTGGGCTTTAAGCTGCCATGGCAAGAATGATCCATGGATCCAGCACCCCCACTGAATGAAACCTATTCGCATGAATGGGGCCACACTGCAGCCGCCCTGTCACTACGTGTTACGAACATGGTGGCGTCACGCGTGACGGCGCAGCATTTACAGGATTAAAGCAGGCGGTGAAGAGAAGGAGGTGACCTATTGCCTGTCTACCACCTGTCAATGCCTCTGAAAAGTGATCCACAGTAGATACAAGCAATGTCGTGTGGATACCTCAGCTGACTTTGTACATCCCTACCCTCTATGATGGCGCTATAAATCTGGTTGGAAGTGTCCGGATCAGGGGCAGACTGACCATTTATGCAGTTGGGCACTGCCCAAGGGCCCGGGGTCAGTAGGGGCCCCATGAGATGCCCCTAGTACCTTTCTTAAGCTTTTTTGGGTGTGGTTTAAGTGTGGGTGAGGACACAGGGGCCCCATGATACCCTATTGCCCAGGGGCCCCATGAGTTGTCAGTCCGCCCCTGGTCCAGATGCATCATTTGGAGAGTCATTCCCTGATTTCAGGTTTCAGTATTGGGTGTTTGGTGCCTCTTTTACATCACCCATCAGTTCCCCCCCCCCCCCCCCCCCCCCCCGCCCGGGGGTCTCACTTCTGCCTGTGGCCCCCACAAGGAATCTCACTTCCCTGTTAATGTTCCCCATGTTGTGTGTGAGGGGACCCGAGATATCACTTTTTATCAGATTCCCTATTTAAATATGAACTTCAGTCCCCTTTAGCTTTGGAAGCACCCTTCCCCCACCCTCCCCCCACCTTCCCCCACCCTCAGCACCGCCATCTTTGTTAGCATGGCATGTGCTCAGATATGTTGCAGGGGGTTTCCACGCATGCGCAGACACGCCGAGGGTTTCGGGTCATCCATATGACCTAAGTTGAAGGTCGACTTTAAACCGCCCCTCCCCCCCTCCCATTCCTGGTCCTTCATTATGTATTCACTTTCATTACATTTCCCATCCGATTCCAATGGAGGCGCAATGAGCCGAGAGCGGCGGCACCACCTTGTATTGATCGGGGGATGTGCACAACGGCAGTCCTATAATTATGTCTGCAGAGAGACGATCGGATTTCTGCGTCTCAGATGATCGCCAGGCTATGGAAATGGCGGCTGTTGTAAAAGGAGGCGACGCGGAATCCACCAAATACAGCCGAGGTTCCCCGAGCTCGCCGCTTCGCATGTCGTGAGACGAGATCATCGATTTCATCAATTTATAAAGAACCGGAACTTTCCCACCGACACTAATAAAGCGCATCGAATTTACTTCTGTTCAGTGCGTTCCGTGCGTTCCGCGGCCCATTACAACGCATTGCGCTGAGGCAGCCCATAGAAATCAATGCACCTGAATATTATTATACATTCATAGAGCTCTGACATATACCGCAGCGCTGTACAGAGATCACTGAGCCAGTCACATCAGTCTCAACCAGAGGAGCTTACACTCTAATGTCCCCTCCCCCACAGTCACATCAGTCTCAACCAGAGGAGCTTACACTCTAATGTCCCCTCCCCCACAGTTATCAGTCTCTGGACCAAAGGAGCTTACACTCTAATGTCCCCTCCCCCCACAGTCCCATCAGTCTCTGTACCACAGGAGCTTACACTCTAATGTCCCCTCCCCCACAGTCACATCAGTCTGTACCCAGAGGAGCTTACACTCTAATGTCCCCTCCCCCCACAGTCCCATCAGTCTCTGTACCACAGGAGCTTACACTTTAATGTCCCCTCCCCCACAGTCACATCAGTCTGTACCAGAGGAGCTTACGCTCTAATGTCCCCTCCCCCACAGTCACATCAGTCTCTGTACAGAGGAGCTGACACTCTAATGTCCCCCCCCCCCACAGTCACATCAGTCTCTGTACCAGAGGAGCTTACACTCTGCACCAGAGAGGTTGTGCTGCAGTTGCTCTCCCTCTCCAGGCACTAGGGGGCCAGGCCTGCTCGCCTGGCCCCAGAAACATGGCCTCTTCTGGGCTAGGCTCAGACCATGCTCCCCCTGAGGGACCCAGCTTACCTTCCCATACTTTACCAGCACCTGAAGACCTTGGCTGTGGCCCTAAAAGTGGGGAATCCCTCCCTGTCTTCAGAGAGCGGGTTGCTGATTATCTGGTGAGAATCGCAAAGGAGGAGGAAAAGTTGGTGAGTCTGAAAACTGACTACAAGAAAAAGAAAGTTCTCCATGACAAGTCATGGAGCAGCAAGAGGCAGAGCATGAAGCCGGAGATGAAGGGTTTGGAGGACGTCATGGAGCAGCAAGAGGCAGAGCATGAAGCCGGAGATGAAGGGTTTGGAGGACGTCATGGAGCAGCAAGAGGCAGAGCATGAAGCCGGAGATGAAGGGTTTGGAGGACGTCATGGAGCAGCAAGAGGCAGAGCATGAAGCCGGAGATGAAGGGTCTGGAGGACGTCATGGAGCAGTAAAGAGGCAGAGCATGAAGCCGGAGATGAAGGGTTTGGAGGTCGCCATTAAGAAGCAGCAGAATCTGGTAAAGACGCTGAAGGAGAAGAGCGGAGCTTTCAGAGAAAAGTTCCGTAATGAGGAAAGGTTCCGGAAGATGAAGGGAGACTCCGGTAAGGATCCAGCATCGGCGGTGGCAGTACGGGTGGAGAGCGAGGAGGGGGTCCTGGATGCTGCCCCTGCTATCCCATCCACCTCAGGATCTGCTTCCCTGGAGGAAATGTCAGCCTCTGCTTCCCTCCCTCCACAGCAAGCTGGAGGATCAGCACAGGAGGTAGAGGAACATGGCGGAGGGCTGCTGAAGTACATTGAGGAATTGGAGTCTTCCCTAATTGGAAGAACTTTCCGCTTTTCTGAGGACTCTGAGGATGAAGATGACGGTGAGGACTCTGTACCTGGTCCTGTAAAGGAGAAAAAAACAGAAAAGCTGCGCTTTATTAAAAGTGACAGTTTGGACTCCAAGATGGACAGCCATGTGCACTGCAGTGTTTTGGAGGGAAATCCTCCTGTGTGTGCACAGAGCTCTGCAGGGAAGATGGCTGCTGTGCCTGCAGGACTGCACTCTGCTGGGACTGTGGACTCTGATACCAGGAACCCTGTGACTGTGGACTCTGCTGGGGGGAAGGTAAAGGTGGGATCTGAGACTTTTGCTGGACAATCCCTGCTGATGGCTGCAAATGCAGCAGAAAATGGTGGGAGGGAAATTGTCAGCAGCACTCTGAAAGGTGTTGCTGAAACCCAGGGGAGAGTGACCAGGAGTGGAAGGCTTTTGCCTAAGAGGAGTATGTTGGGGGAGGGGGAGACAGGAGCATCTGGTGTGAGTGGGTCTGCTGGGAGCAGTAGTGCCACGAGTGAAAGGAAACATATGGATGATAAGAGTGCTTGCAATGCTGGAAAGGGGAATGCCTGTGTGTTGGTGGATGGAGTGACTGCTGCTGCCTCTGATGGTGGTTTGCAGAGCGGGGGCTCTGAGGTTCCTGCAACCAATGGGCAGGGTGCAGCTTTAGGGTCTGAGGTTCCTGCAACCAATGGGCGGGGTGCAGCTTTAAGCTGCCTCTTCATGAAGATCAAACCTTTCCTTTTTACAGCCCAGCAAGTTGTCTTCGGTGGTGACTTTAACACCGTCACTAGGACTAAGGACAGGAGAGGGACCGGAGTCAGGCTGGACTGTGACGCCTAGAGAGGCAGGTCTGGTTGATGTGCACATTCATTGCTGCCCAGACGACACGGGATTCACTTTTCAGAGAGGTTCCAGTCAGAGTAGAATAGATAGGTTTTTTTAAAGGAGAACTCCGCCTTCTCGGCACCAGTGTGTCAGGCGGTGGAGTTTTCCGATCACTGTATTCTGTCTGTGACTCTGAGTGGCCCCGATACACCACCTAAGGGGAGGGGTACCTGGAAGCTGAATTCGGCACTCCTGGATGATGAGAAGGTGAGTCAATCCTTTGAGGATTTCTTTCAGGCACAGGTATCCATCATGGACGTTTGCAGCAGTAAGTCCGAGTGGTGGGAGCTTACAAAACGAAGGATCGTTGGGTTTTTCAAGGCCATAGGAAGGAATAAACAGCTTGATAAGTATGTCACCTACCAGCGTCTGCGGAGGAAGCTCGATCGGCTTGTCTCGAATAATGGAGATCCAGAAGCGATCTCTGAGGTTAAACTCTTGCTCAGGCAGTGTCAATATGACAGGCATGCCTCTTTGGTTCTGGAAAGGGATTATGGGAAATATCACTCGCCCGACCCTTACCAGAACTGCAAACAAGGTAGAGCAGTTAAGTCAGTTGTAGGCCTGGTTGACAGTACGGGTTCCCTGACAAAGTCCAAGTCAGGGATCCTGGAAACCTCCAGGTCATATTATGCTGACCTCCTGGGTAGGAGGGACCTCGATCGAGCGAGCATGTTGGGTTTTCTGGACTACTACTCCAGGACTGGGAAATGGCAGTTCTCTTGTGAGTTTGACAGAGGACATCACGGCAGATGAGGTGGTGAAAGCTATTGATCAGCTTGCCATGAAGAAGTCGCCTGGGCCAGACGGATTGACAGCCGAGTTTTATAAGCACTTTAAGGTGACTCTGGCCCATATTTGGTGGAGGTGTTTAATGGCTGTCTGAGAGAGGGTCCGCCCTCCCCCTCCATGTCTGAGAGAGGGTTCGCTCTCTCCCTCCATGTCTGAGAGAGGGTTCGCTCTCTCCCTCCATGCGACAATCTGCGGTGATTCTTCTGTCAAAGGGTAAGGATTCCTCGAGAATTGAGAATTGGCGGCCCATTAGCCTTCTCAATGTTGATAGGAAGATACTGGCAAAAATTATTTTCTGGCGTTTATCGTCTGTTGCGGGCAATTTACTTTCTCGCCATCAGCACTGTTCGGTTCAGGGAAGAAGCACTTTTTCAGCGGTGTTAGCTGTCCGGGAGGCCCTGGAGCGGTGCAGGGCTGCAGGCTGGGGAAAGTTCCTGCTGGCATTGGATCAGGCCAAAGCTTTTGATCGAGTCAATCATGAGTACCTATGGCTGCTTCTTGGCAAGTATGGCCTGGAGGGGGGCTTTATCGATTGGCTAAAGACCTTATACAGAGGGGGGCTGAAAGCTTCATGCTTGTGAATGGTTGGATTGGACGACCCTTTGAGGTTGGCTCAGGTGTGCGTCAGGGGTGTCCTTTGAGTCCTCTGCTATATGCGTTTGTAATCGATCCCTTCATTCGGAGGTTAGAGAGCGGACCGTTGTGTGGAGTTCCTTTGGGCATTCCTGGGGAGCCCCCTCTGAGGGTCGTGGCCTATGCTGATGACGTGTCTGTTTTCATCTCCGGGACGCAGGAGGCGGAGGAGGTGGTCTCGGTGATGGAACAGTATGCTGAGGCAGGAGGTGGTCTTGGTGATGGAACAGTATGCTGAGGCAGAGGAGGTGGTCTTGGTGATGGAACAGTATGCTGAGGCAGAGGAGGTGGTCTCGGTGATGGAACAGTATGCTGAGGCAGGAGGCGGAGGAGGTGGTCTCGGTGATGGAACAGTATGCTGAGGCAGAGGAGGTGGTCTCGGTGATGGAACAGTATGCTGAGGCAGAGGAGGTGGTCTCGGTG